TTGTCACTTTGAATGGTCACTAAATGAACTGTTGTAAGTCAAGGACCACTGTACATCTCACTTTGCTAAAGAGCACCCTTCAGCCTGTTTTTTAATACCTCTGTGTTTATCTAGCACAGTGTTTCTCAACCTTGGCCACTTGAAGATGTCCGGACTTCAACTCCCAGAATTCCCCAGCCAGCATTCGCTGGCTGGGGAATTCTGGGAGTTGAAGTCCGGACATCTTCAAGTGGCCAAGGTTGAGAAACACTGTTCTAGGGTGTTGTTAGCTATTCCTGCCAGCTTAGTATTATCCGCAAATTTGGTAAATTCCCCTTTCTAAATTGTTCCAAATTAAAACATTCCTGACAAGATTCCTTAAATCTACTGGATTAAGTGTTACCTGCATTGTGTTTTTTTTAAATGTCCCAAAGCAATAAAAATACCAGATACAATTATTATTTTTTTGCATCAACAAGTTGCAATATTTACTCAGGACTTTGGAATTTATCGGCTGGAACACCTGTGGGGCTTCCTTTGTTCCTCTGAGAGATTGTTTCATGTGGGTCTCTTTTGATTTGTCTCCCCCCAGATCCACAGAACAAGCACAGGCAAGAGAGGTTCCTGTAACAAACAAGCCATCTTTTCCTGCCTTTGTTCTTCAGCGCCCAGCCAGGCACTTCAGAAAGCCCGACTGTAGGTCAGCCGCTGTAACGTCTTGGAAGTGCAGGATTTATTTGAAAGAAGCGGGGAGCAGAGTCTTCCGCCCGGATTGTTTTCCTTGGCCTGGAAGAGCCCCCGGCCGAGCAACAGGTCACAACTGGGATGCGGATTCTGAACTGGCCGCTATTTGGGGGCCCTTCGTGGTCCCTGTGCATTCACACTACAGATGGTTCTTGACTTACAACAGTTCACTCAGTGACCATTTGAAATTACAGCAGCACTGGGAAAAAAGGGGGCAGGTTTTTTCATACTTATGACCGTTGCAGCAGCACCCCCCCATGGTCATGTGATCAAAACTCAGGTGCTTGGAGGGGAAGCCAGAGGCGTCGCAGGAAGACCAGCTGGGAAAAAGTGGCTCTTTCAAGCCCTGCGGAAACCCAGCCGGAGAAACGGCTGTCGAGAGGCCTTCGGACTGAAACCTGTCCTGGAGGGACGGGGGGAGGATGAGGGACGTCTCAGCCAACCAAGAGTTCCTGGGTAGTTCCCGGGTGGGTCAGAGAAAAGCCCTCCAAACTGGCAGCAGGGGGTGGCATGAATTAAACGATGGCTACATCCCTGGGGCATCCGGACTAAGCTATTTGTGCTGGAGCGGTGCTAGAAGAGAGTATGGACGCCGGGTGAGTGATCAACCAACTCACAGAGAAAAAGAAAAATTGATTTTGATCTTAAAACAAGAGAGTCCCGGAGTGTAATTAGCAGTTAA